CCGAATTCATAAGATTCGATCCGATCTATTTTACTAAATAAATAATATATGAATTTATTATGATTTAGTCCGAATCGATTTGTTTACGAGTCCTAAATTACCTTTTCACTATGTCCATTTCTAGACCTAAATTGTATTTGGATTCCTATCACTATATGATTAATTCTAACCCAAACCCTTCAAGTTCAATATTTGAATGGGGTAATTTGTTTTCCTATATTTGCTTCACTTTTTGATTTAAGAAAATGACAAGGTTATTCTTGCAAAATTAAAAACACACACACACACAAATGTAATAGCTTTTTTAAGGATTTCAAAGCTTCTTTAAATATATCAAAATTAAAAACACACATCACACATGTATTTCATTTTTTGTGTGAAAATTATCTCTTATGAAGAGATAAGATTAGAGTTTGACACAACATATTCAATCTTTTTTTAAGATAAATTACAAAAACTCCCTTTAGGTATTATACAATTATAGTGATCATCCCAAAACTTTAAGATATTACAAAAGTACTCCTCAAGTTTAAGTAAATATTACAAAAAAAAAAAAAAAAACCTTTTTTTTTTAATCTAAAACATTCTTAATATTTTTAAATCTTTTCCTACAGACTTTAAGGGTGTTTTGGGTGTGGAATGTGTTTTTTTATAATATCTTTAAAACTTTCTTCCGGCATGCAATTTTGGTCCTTGGTTTTTTTAATTTTTTTCAATCGGATCCCTATATCCTTTAATTTCAATCCTAAGGTTTTCAATCATTCCAATCGTATCCCCGAGTGTTATAATTTTAGTCCTAGTTTTATTCAATTATGCTCCTAATTAATTATGCCATGCAATTTTTGAATTTTATGTGTGTGTGTGTGTGTGTGTGTGTGTGTATTTTTTATTCTTTCCCATTTTTTATTTTTTATAGTAAATTCCAAAATAAAATAAAATAAGAGATAAATAAAAAAAATAAAAGAGGAAAAAAAGGGATAAAAATGGAGAAATTTTGGGTAGTCACAATAGGTATAAAAAAGAACTCATACATTTAATTCAACAAAATAAAATATGTAATAACGTATTAAAAGTGTCAAAGGATCATCTCACCTAAAAGCTTAAGCCGATAAGTGAAGTCCTAGGATATGATTTATATTATTCTTTAACAAATTTCCTCAAATGAAAGTCCTTCGGGCTTAAAACTTACACGAGCCCACACTACCTTGTGCTTAATTAAAAGAGAAAGTGAGGTGATAGGATTCGAACTCGCGATTGTTTGGTCATCAAGGCTCGATACCATGTCATAGGACTATCTCACCCAAAAGCTTAAGTTGATAGGTGAAGTCCTAGGATATAATTTATATTATTTTCTAAGAAAAAACACTATATATAATTAAAGAATAGATATGAATTCATAAAAGAAAAACACATTACTAAATTTATTATTACATAGAATTTATTAAGAAAAAGAACTAGAAACATTATACGTAGTATTAAGAAAACAAGGCAATAAGTAAAGAATATATATATAGCAACCGATTTATGTTATAAATGAATTTCGTTGATATTAAAGTTTTATTATAAGATTTTTTTTAAAGAATAATAATTGATGAGATTGTTGAACCTCTAAAGATGTTGTGCCTCTTTAATGGCTATTAATGGGATGATGATACTTGTTAATGGGTGGTGGTCATGCTAAATGGAATACTTGCAAAACAAGTCTCTCTAGTTGGGTAAAGAATTATCCGACGATCAAGTTAGTCTAAAGACGAGGGCGATTAGCCAAAGAAGGTTATGATACATGTATGAAAAAGAAGATGAACAATAATAATAAGAGAAGAGATGGAAAACTCATAAGCTTAGGTCTATTAGTTGTGTATATGTTAAAACACATATCCCACACTAAATAGTTAAACTAAAGATGATTAATATATAAAGTTGAGAATGAGCCACCCATCACAAGGCTTAAGTTTTTTGGATGGAACCCAATCTTAGCTATTTAACTTTATATGTTATCGGAGTCTCAAAGAGGCCCAACGGTCCAACAAAGATCCTGGAACCTAAGCCACTTGACGGAACCCACAAAGATGGACTGCAAGTGAGGAGAAGTGTTAGAGCACATATCCCATATTGAATAATTAAATCAAAGATAATTAACATATAAGATTGAGAAGGGGCTATCTACCACAATGCTTAAGTAACTCTATATTATATAGGCAAGCAACTCGTCGAGTTACATGCAAAGAGAACTCTCATTTATTATATATACTTTTTATTCTTTTTCAATTGGTGGGGGTTGGTTTGATTATGGATCATGAATCGATCGAGTTCCTCTCATTAGATGTTTTCTAGTAAACCAAATGTGTCCATCTGTCTAAATCTCGAGCATGTGTTTTTCAATTGCTTTGGTATGACATTAGGTTAGGGAAGAGATCGTATGTATATGTATCGCTCATGGTGGAGCCTCGTGAGTCTCGTAGGATGACATGTGTCATTTAGTTACATTAATATTTATGCAATTAATTTGATTTTTAACCAAATACTAATACAAAATCAAGTTAGATCCCTAAGGTGTCGTTTGGTAATCGGGAATAGAGTGATAGGAATAGGAATGCGGGAATTGAAATGAAAATTAAAAAATCGAAATGGTATTTGTATTTTCATACCGTGTTTGAAATACTAATAAGGAATCGAAATGCAATTTAAATTTTTTAATATCTCATTTTTTATACAAATAAAAATAATGATTAAAAAAATAATTTTATTAAACTATAATGGTTGTAAAAATAATAAAAGTGATGATGGTGATTGTGATTATGACGGTGATGGTGGTGGCGGTAGTGATTGTGACGGTGGTGGTTGTGATGATAATAACGATGGCGGTGGTAGTGGTGGTGGTTGTAATGGTTGTGATGATAATAACGATGGCGGTGGTAGTGGTGGTGGTTGTAATGGTTGCGATGACGGTGGTGGTAGTGATTGCGGTGGTGGTTGTGATGGTAGTGGTGATGGGTACGGTGGTGGTAATAAAAGTAGTTAATAAATAATAAATAAATAAAATATATTATTATTTTGAAAAAAAAATTCATTCTCATTTTTTATTTTTATTCCCACATCTTATGTGGAAATGAAATTATGTGTAAATTTTCATTTCCATTTTTACTTTATTCTTTTTAACCAAACAGCTACAATATGAGAATAAAACTTTCATTCTCATTCCCACCACTCTATTTCTTATTACCAAACAGCATATAAAAACTCTAGAAAAAAAATCTTAAATCTTGTAAAAAGAACTTGAGATTCAATATATATATATATATATATAAATCTTGTAAAAAGAACTTGAGATTCAATATATATATATATATATATATAGAAACATGTTAAACGTTAGAGATAATTACGCTACCAGCTGTGAGTCTTTTTAGTTTAACTTCGAGAAACTTAAACGAGTTCCTTTCCTTCGGTCATTTTTAGTAGTTTTTCATTCTTTTTGTCAGCAGCAATATTAGAAAATAAAAATGTATATGACAAGACTATCAACTCTATACATAAACAGTTGCTGCATCACAACAAAATTGAATTTAGCTAGCGGCAACTGTTTTAAGAGCTATACATACTGGCAATCAGAAAGAAATGTCATTACAAGAACATGTTATAATTATTATAAATGTTTAGCGGTATTTATTTAATTTCAGAAGCGATTATATCAACTTTAGTTGCAATCATGATAGATTTTACTCACATTAGATCTAACCATACAGATTTAAATTGCTACTAAAATTTAGTAGCACTTGGTATAAATGCCGTAGATTTAATATCTGTAAATTAAGATACGCTATCATAATTGTAACTGAAATTAAGTTAAATACGGATGATTATATACACAAAGACAGCAATTGCGAATTCCCATTGTAAAATATATATATAAGGGCCTTTTTTTTTAAGTGAGATTTTTAAGAAAATGTGACAATTTTCTTGAAATGAGCTAGGTGATAATACATACGTAAGAAAAGTATAGAAATTTTTTTTATCTCTACACACTAGTTTTCTCATTTTTGAAGAAACCCTAATCAAGTTTGGGCTTTGGAGGGCTCCTGACGTCTTATTGTCCTTCACTTGATTAGCTTGCATGGCATACTCAAACCCTTCTAAACTAAAGCATCTTAATTAATGTATGGACGCAATGAACGTGTATGTGTGGGTGTGGGTGAGAGAGAGAGAGAGAGGAAGGGAGACGGTGATGGTGGTGAGTATTTCCAGTACACGATGAAGGGAATAAAAGCAAGCAAATTACTGAGAAGCAATGAAGCGCAGGCAGGCAGGCAGGCAGGCAGACAGAAGCCTTTAGCATAAGGCTGCAAGAAGAATCCTTCTTCCCAACTGTGAGAATCAAATTGCTTTTCGAGGAAACTGATCTAATTTCCAAATGCTGCTTTTAATCCTTAATTTATTACTTAAACGAATCTTCATATGCCATCCCACAGACCACCACCAATACCATCACCTTGCACCTGACCTCCACCTCTCTTAATATGCATGAAAAGGAAAGCTTATAAAGTTTTTGGGTTAACCAAGATGATAAACTAAATCAATCATGTGATGGTTTATTCTTTCTCACATTTTATTATTCTCATCATGGTACAGGAAAAGAAGGACTGTATGTAATTAAGTTGCCTAAAATCTGACAATATCGTCTTCAAGAATTTGATAACGACTAATGAGAACCTTTTTAACACCCTAGCTAGTAATTTAAAATAAAGAAAGATGATTTAAATGAAAATGGATTAGAATCCAATTAATATTTATATTTTCACTACTTCTTGGTCCTTGGTACATCCTCAAAAGTTAAAACACACTTCAAAACACACGTACGTAATCAAGAACATTAAAAGAAGGAAAAAAGAAATACTGATTCTACGATCATATTCTTATACCACACCCCAAACAACAACCCTACCATATGAAGGAGGTCTAAAATAAAAAGAAATACAGACTTCAAAAAAAATAAAGTGTTCTTAAGGATATGCACCATTAGTTGTTGGAAGATCAGACCATGAAAAAGCTGGATTCCAGTAACCCAACTCACCTCCAGCAACTGGAGCAGACTCCAAAATGGTTGTAGGAGTTGAAGTTGACGATGAATTGGTCACATTGCTAAGAACTATTGCTGATGGGTTATCAGTATAGTAATTTGTTGTTGATCTAAGCCTTTGATACAGTTCTTGTATCCCTGAGTTTTGAGCTTCGCCAACAGTGAAACCATTTTGTTGGTGCTGATTGCTTTTCCAAAAAGGGTGGCAAAGACCAAGAGAAGGGTCCAAGCTTAGGGTTCTAGCATTCAGTGCAGCTGTTCCAACTGCTGGCTCATTTATCATATGGTTTCCAATTAAAGCCCCCTCTTCCTTCACAGAAATAGAATTACACAGTGTAGTAGGGTTAGGGTTTTGTGCGGCTCTAAGTAAAGCCAAAATATGAGAATTCTGTGGTGAAGCCCACATCATTGGGCTCGATGAAAACTCATGGTCAAACCCATTTCCAAAACCTGATCTTCCAATCTCAGATGCCATAGTTTTCAGCTTATTAGTGCCAGATTTTGCAACCGAGGCCGATACGCTCGTGTTCTTGTTTTTTCTGCATCCACCTCCGATTGGAACATTCCTAAGCGCACCACCTTTAGTCCAATATCGGCGACAAGTCTTGCAGAAGTGGCGAGGCTGAGTGAGGTTATAGTTGTTATAGTAACAGAACTTGGTGTTTGAAGAATCGCATCGCGGACATCTCAAGCTCTCTTGTGCTGAAGAAGGTGTTGAATTAGTAGCAGAAGTAGTTGCTGATGTTGTTGAAGAAGAAGGAGATGGTGAAGGAGAAAGAGAAGGAGAAGGTGTGCCTTCTAAAATGGTTCCGTTGATGGGAAATTTCCTCTCTCCGCCAATTAAGCCAGCACCTCCTAAGAGTTCTTGAATCATCTTTTCTTCTTTGTAGATCTACAACAATCCAAAACAAGAAAAGCAAAGATGAGTGAGAACTCTTTTTTGAGTTAGTGGAAAAGCTAAAGAAAGAAAGAAAGAAAGTAAGGTTTTTATTGTCTGTTAGAGTATGTGTATATGGATGACTGTGAAGAGAAAGATGAGGATATTGTAGAGGTAGAAAACATGGCTTGCCTTTGTAAGTTCGGTTGATTATTGTTGGCTTTGGCTTTGTTGGCCAGTTTTTCTTTTTTGGTGGGTGTGTATCTAAAGGAATAGATGATACAGGACAGGATATATGAAGAGATGTAATATAGACATACAATGTGAAAGTAGCTTCTTTAATCTACATCACGAAAAGCAAGTGGCACTAGACTAGTTTGGAATTTTGCTGTAATCCTGTTTTTTTTTTTTTTTTTTTTTTAAAGTGGATTGCCTTTTCTTCATTTCCCACTCTATCCTTTTGCTCATCATATGAGAACTCTATTTTGATAAGGCCACCTTAATTACTACCCTAATATATATATATACATATATATATATATATATTCTTCTAGGGTTAATGAGCCAAGTAATTTTTTTTTTTTTAATTTTTGGCTTTGTTAATATTTTTAATCTAAGTTAATAAAATTCCGATCACATTAAAAAAAAAAAAAAAAGACATTGAGCTTTTTTTTCCCCATGATTGAACTACCGTTAAACTCGGCCTTCATTAATTTTATGAGAAAATTCATGACATATATATACTATAATATTTTTCATATTAAATTTTCAAAAACCTAACTATCCTAGCTAGCTGGAGACCAAACTCCAACGCATTCGTTTGCTTTATGAAGTTAAATCTTCTTCATTAAGTAAGCCAAATATACCATTCAATCACAAGACTGGATTTCATGAGGCATATCTTTCAATCCAAGTATTTTTACTAAACTTCTTAACACAGTACTGCATCATAAGTTTTATTTACAAATTTTGAAGTGAAAACTTGGATATATATTATCAATTAATCCAAAAAAAAAAAAACATTTGAAATCAAATCAATTTTGGATCCATAATTTCTTCAATAAATGGGAAGATCAAGAGGGCCTTTTTGTAATTAAATTGACTACATATCTCAAAGTTAGAAGTAGTAGGCTCCCCTAGTCCAAAGACTACAATTGCACTATGCTTGCATATAATTTGCTTAGCACTCGACATGAAATCGTAAGCGAAAAATGGGAGTGAGTAAAGATGAGGAGAGAGCATTTACAATGATTATAGTAATCAATTAGTAGTCTAAATGAATAATCTTTGTTGGGAGCTTTGTGTTCCCTTGCTGAAGATGCTGCTCAAAAAACCATCATTACGAGTTCAAGGAGAGGGCTAATGACATGAAAATACGTGTAAAGTTGATGGCTCCACCCCCAACTATAAAGCCACTGCCGAAACTTATGGCTAGAATTTAGCCTTCCCCACAAACCCTAGCAAAAATCAAGATATGATAGCCATCGTGTGCTACACATTGAGTCGTTTTAAATCCAAACCTAATGATTCACACGTGTATAATTATTCAAACCTATTGTATGTTCATTCTTAATAGAAATTTTTGCAACTGTGTCTGTGCGAGAGACAGAGAGAGCTAATATATACATGAGATAAATTCACCAAAAATTTGGCTAATTCCTACAACCCTAATTTTGCAAAACAGAACTATATACGTAAATAAAGAGTCAAGTGAGGATGACAGTGTAGGAATTTTTTTCTCTAATGACTAAAGAGACATTTAATTTAACAAGAGAAAGAACAAAAAAAATTAAAAGAAGGGGTCATACGGAGACCTAAAATTTGTACTAGATTTGACTACTTACTAACCCCAATTAATCCACACTTAAGACGAATTTCATGATGAAGTTTCCTAAAAGTTGCAAGAGAGACCTTACCTATATGGACCTATAAGACTAAATATTTGATTTGCATTTAACACTGTTGTACCTAATTATAACAGGAACATATAAGACAAATTGCAAATCGGTTGATGTAACCCCTGTATGTTTGCTACTCATAAAAAGTCGCTGTGGAAGTATATATGAATTGACAAAAGTTATTATGTGTTAATGCTGGCTAGGGCAACAACAGTAAATCATATCATGATTACAATGTGAATCAGATACCTTCTACGAACTTGCGGTAAGAATGAAATTATTTTCAACCATGAAAATGGAAAATAAAGAGAGAAGATTAACAAGCAAGAAGATGTGAAAACGAAATCTTGGGGTTGGTGGATAAGAAGAAGAGGGGTCTACATGTTTTATTGTCTTATTTTTGTGGAACCATTCGTCAATTCACAATTTTGTGTATGGAAATTATGTTGATCATGCAGAGTTAACCTTATCACTTGCATTTCAAGATAATATTGTGATCAATCTTTAATTAATTACTAAGATCGTCGAAATTATCCACCCTCTCGTTATCATTGCAAAGCTCTCTCATTGTCATTGACCCAATCAATGACTTAATAAATTAAATAATATTTTTCTTGTGGAACTATATAACTTAGTTAATACAATCTAGTACTTTTCTTTCGATTGTTAAAAATAAAATAGTAGTATCCTCCTATTTAAAATTCTAGTACTCATGCTTAATCACTATTAGAAAAAGAAACTGTCCCTTCGAACAATCAAATTCTATAAAGATGCCCATGAACGTAGAGATTTCACTGCAATGATGATCATAGCGGTGCCTAGTGATTAACAGTGAGTTTTCCTTTTCTTTTTCCTTTTTAATTTTTTTTTCCACAATTGGATGAATAAAAGTAGGCTAATTATTGGATGAGTATCTTAGAATCAAAGACAGAGGGAAATATATATACGGTGTTCCTATTGTATAACAAATAGCTAATGTGATAAAGTTGTAACCAACTCAAAAGTTGGCACCATGCTAGAATCAACTAGGCCAGGTCGGCTTTCATTGAAGTGATTTCTTTGACCAGAGCACTTAAAATTAATTTATGGAGGACCAGCAATAGGTTCGGTTTGGTACCCGAAGAGGATCCACTCGAGGAATGAAGAAAATAAGATAGATTATAATTAATTTTAGATGCATGTTAGGTGATACACTTAAAGGATGTAGTAGGTTTTTTTTTCAACCGGTTGTAAAAGGGCATAGATCAAATCGACGGTTGTTAGTCATTCTATACAGCTAGGTACAGAATTTTAGCAGTTCCATAGCATAGAATGACCCTTTGTTTAATATTTTTAATCAATATGATTAACTTTAATTTATTTGAATTTTAACTTAAAGGGTTTAGACTCGTGGTTAAAAAAAATATGCTTTTTTTTTTTTTTTTGAAGATTTAAATCTTGAGAGTAGCATCTAAATTTTTTTTAAAAAAAAATTTATCTCTAAATACTTTAAATTAATGTAGATGGTGGGCTTTTAAAATCCTCACAAAAAAAAGATAATCCGAAGATATCTTTTATCATTAAATAAAAAAATTATTAAATATTAGATTGTTATTCATTTCTTTAACTGTACTGACCAATAAATGATCATATAGATAACATGTTTTTCCATAATTTTATCCAAATTCTATTAAAGAAGCAAAATTCCACAAAGCAATACAGTGTCAATTTGGCAACTGCCATGCTTAAGTCACCGTTATTTAGTAAAATGTGAAAGAGTTTATAAATAGGATCGAGAGTTTGGACAACAATTTAACTGTATTTGAACTATATAGATAGAGTCTTAACAGTTGTAGGATTTCGAATGACAGTATCCTTATCAAAATGAACAAAATATCAATAGATTTGCTCTCAAAATATTCATATAGTTAAATAAAGGTGCGTCACGCAGGTTTTTGGGTCGGTCAATCTGGTTTTGGAGATGTCCCTGTAATGGATGTTTCCCTTATCTTTCAAACCATAGTACCACGAAGGGTGATCAGATGTCTTTGGATACTGTATAATTAAATGGAAAACGAAGTGTGAATGCAAAAAGGGAAAATAAAAAGGCAACATGTAAAAACCCATGTTTGATTTTTGGCATTCGCAGCAGTAATAAATAGACAAGTCTTTGGCAACTTTCACATGATTTTTCTGATTTTCCATGAAAGCAATGGTTCAATCTCTCAAGTATGATGGACCATTCAAACCGCTACTTATTCCAATTTTATCATTCAATTATATATGAAAAGAAACCTACTTGACAATTGCATCCTCTCAATTACTGAGAAATAATTGAGGGACTTGACCGTTAGATAAGGGATAATTGATCGTGAAATTCAAATCATTATTTGTTAAAAACATTGATTTGTAGAAATAAAAAACTAGTATTTAAATAAAAATTATAGATATTGATTATAAATATTAAGTTAGGCGGTAGTTGGTATGATGATATTTAAATTATTTATAATAAATTTTATTTTAAAAAATAAAAATTGATTTAGAACATTAAATAATTATTTTAAAAAATAACATAAAAGGCATTCGTTAGCCGGACCGCTGCTTACAGACTACATCAGTAACAGTAACAAGTACAGAAATTACGTACCTGACCGCGCGTGCCTTCCGGACCGCTAGACTTGTCCAAATTCCGACACATAAGATGCCCGAACTTTATCTGATTCGGACCGGGCAGCAGAAAACGACAGAAGCTTATGATATAGATATCGGGCAGGTCGGGCAGGCAAACAAGCAGATACATCTAGTCGCCGTCAAAGTGGGGCTGCGCGTTCCCTCCCTCGATCCTCGGGCTCTCTTTTTATATTCTCTTGGTCTGTCACCGTCAACTTCTTTTCTTGCGCCTAATTTTGTTGAAATTGTTTAACGGCTCTTATAATTTAGCCCAATATTACAATGATTATTACAGGCATAAGGGGAAGGATGATGCCTTATTCCACGTAGAAAAAGAAAATATAAAATACGGGCATGGGTTTTCTCCTTTTGTATTGTAGCAGTACTCTTGACCAGCTTTTGACTAGGATCTATACATGGATATGGTCTACATGTTTTAAATGAATTAATAAGCTTCACTCTATTTATTTCTATTCAAAAAAAATAAAAAAAATTTATGGGACGTTTAAAGTTATTTGAACCCTTTTTCTTTATATTTGGAAGGATCTTAGTAGAGTTTCATTGTCACCAGGTGTGTGACCATTATAAATGAGAGAAAAGAGGAAATAAAGTTCTTATTTTGTTGGCAGTAGGATCTATAAAATCTTCGTCACCAAATAATGGTGGCAAAGGTATAATTTTATAATCAAATATTTAAAGAAGTTTTATTATATGTACAATTAAGAGTAACACAATCCATATATCTTTTAATTCTTCACAGTTCTTTGACGTGAGCAGGATTTGTTATTGGTTATTTTGTTCCATTACACTCTTATAGTCCAATAGAAAAAAAGAGGATTTAATCTTAGCCATGTCTCTATCTTTGGGTATCTTTTCTCGACTAAGTAATTTATTTCCCCCTTTTTTTGTCACACAAGGGTGCTTATGATGAAATCTTATCATCTGATTTATCAAAATAAACAAATAAATAAGAGGAGTCATATTCAATCAAAATAACTCAAATCATCATATGGGTGAGCTATTTGACCCTTGACATCATAAACCATGCCATGAATTTTATATATAATTGGTGTGTGATTTATGTTCTTAAAAACTTTAGTACTCCATTATTGTAGGGGGAGGGGGTGGGTGACAAAGATTGCTATATGATTAGCAGATGCCTATTCCAATTTGCACAACAAAAGCTATCCATTACTAGATTAAAAAAAAAAAACTTTTTTTTAAAAAAGAACCATTTCGAGATAAAAATCTGATCCCTAGAAACCGGTTAATATACCATGATGAGTGTAAAAGAAACGAAGAAAATAACAAATGTAGGATTTGTATTTATCGTCCTCATAATTTGTGAGGGAATGTGTCATGCATTGGAATGATATGACCTTACGACCATGCATGACAATTGATGCGCTCCCACATTCTCTATGGACCCCCTTCATGTTTCTCCTTTAGCGGCAATAGTGCTTTCTAGGGTTTCTCACCTTCCGTCCTCTTTTTTTTTTTTTTTTTCCCTGACAACGGGGATTGGTACCTCCTTGTTGCAGAATCATTTCAATAATACAATTGGTACGGTTTTCTTGCTTTCTCGAGTTTTCATGAAAAAATTCTAAACTGCAACGTCTTGAGCATCACCACAATCCACGAAACATTAATTAGAATTTTGGATTTGAATTGAAGAGTCAAAAATCCAACCAAAGACCTATAAATTCAACGAATCAATAGCTATTAACATTTAGCTCATATTCAAAACATCAGCAGCGTAACAGCCCCACTTATCAATACATGTACTGACAACATAACAGAGGTCAAAAGAGATTCAAATGAAGTTGTATAGTATTGTTTAATGGAGCAGATCAGATTAATTACCTACTTGAAATAAAATTGACAACACACAGCTGGTCTGTTTAACCTAGCATCTATTATGGCTTGGCTTGATTATCAAAAATGATCACCTTTTATTATCAATAGCAAGCATCTAGCTAACAAGATATAGGTCAAAAGAGATTTAAATGATCCAAGAATGTTCATTTGAGTAAAAAAAACAAAAAAATCTAATTATTTAAATAAATAATTTTAAATTTAAGTTTTTACGTATATAGAAAATTATTTAACTAATTACGTTTATTTTATACATTAGAACGCATAACGATAATTATTCTAGAGTTTAGAATACCTTTATAGTTAAAAAAAAAAAAAAAGATTCAAAAGAAGTTGCATAGTATTTTTTGATGGAACAGATTAGATTAGTTACCTACTTGAAGTAAAATTGACTACACACAGCTTGTCTGATTAACCTAGCATTTAGTAGGCATCTAGGATGGCTTGGCTTGATTATCAAAAGTGATCATCTTTGATTATCAATAGTCAGCATATAGTAAACATAACAAAGGTCAAAAGAGATTCAAATAAATCAAAAAAAATTGATTTGAACGTTAAAGACTCTAATCGTTTAAATAAATGATTTTGAGTTCAAATTTTTATAAATAAAAAAATTTATTTAAATAACTATATCTATTTTATACATCTACCTAAATAATAGGAATGAGCCTAGAGTTTTGAATACCTTCATAATTAAAAAAGAAAAAAATTCAAATGAAGTTGCATAGTATTGTTTTATGGAGCAGATTAGATTAGTTACCTACTTGAAATAAAATTGACAAGACACAGCTGGTCCGTTAACCTAGCATCCAGTAAGCATCTAGCGTATGGATTGGCTTGATTATCAAAAGTGGACCCAAAGCATTGTCTTGGATTGCACTATCGATCTATGACTTCATTGCGAGTCCATCTCCCTGCTGTAGAGTGTTGTAGACCATGATTGCCCGAATCAATCATTCAAACACGGTAAGCATACATGTCCCTTTCCTTCATTCAATTTTCCAATAAGGAACAAATTACTGTAGTTTTCGTTCGTTAATTTGTCTATATATATTCTCTAGGAATCCTCGGAAACCCGTTGATGTTACAAGACAGTGTTTATGTATTTTTGCAAGCTTTCATTGCTTTGAAAAGAGAAGACACGTGTATCTGTGCTGGGTATGATGAACTAGGGTTTTTACTATTCATTTATGTAATTTTGAGCATTTTAACAGGATGTTTTTAACCAAAACTTGTGTAGCTTCATAGTAAAATTCCGTAATTGGCCATTTTTACGAGTATGCTTACAGATTTTATTTGATCTTTTGGTGAAATTTTATGAAATTACAGAATTTCAAATGTAGCACCGTGAGGAGGGAAACTATTCAAATGGATGGTGGTTCAGAAAACCACATCATCTAGCTAAGGCCTAAGGGGTCGGTCCCATGAGCAATTACATAAGAATTGGTCACGGAAATGGGAATTTCAATGTAGGGTTGAACCTGACAAAAGCTAAGATGGACAGGATCCTTCCAGCAGAACATATCAAATCATGTTTCTAGATAAGGTTGACATGTGGGTTGTTTCTTATTGGAGAAGGTGGAACTTACAAAAGCTTAAGTCGAGACGATGAACATCTTGGCTCAGAGAATTTCTTACTGACATATATATATGCCAAGGATCTTCCCATGCTCAAATCAAGGTCAGCCAATCCAAATTTGAAGCTACCAAGACTAGATTTGGTTCCTTATGGGAGTTCGCATTTTAATGCATGCTTTAGCAATCCATAAATTATTCAATACAAATCTAATGTGTGTGTGTATTTTTTAAGATTAAACCTAGTACCGTTTCCATGTGATTTCTAATATTTAAGCTTTAACAAAAAAACACAAAAATTATTTGAGCAGTCCATCATCTTATCTTGTCAAGTCACACGTGACAAATTCGAGACATCATGCACATGTAAAAAAATATCCCTTAAAATGGTACATGTATCATTGTTTTGTTTTAAATTAATACTTTATATTATTATATTTTTTATTTGAATAAAATTACACATGACAATTAAATGTTTAGAGTTTATTGAGTTTTCGTGGTGGATTAGATACATCCAAAATGGATGTAAGTAAAACATAAGTTAGATAAATTATCTCAAGTTTAGCCCTACAAATATTACATAAGGTGTTGTATTATTCATTCATTCAAATTAATTTACTCAGTTTATCCGAAGTTAGATAAAGTATCTCAAATTAATACTTTGTATTATTCATTCATATACAAAAAACCTTAAGTATTGGTATAAATTAGAAGAATTTTTCTTCTTGACAATACCATTTTTTTTTATTTGAACAATTACTTGACTATTTAATCAATAATGACAAAAGATATGTATCATGTTAATTTTCACTATAATTATACGTTTAAGTATATTTAATTTATCTTACACCACCAAACTGAGTAAATTATAAATTAGTTTTTCTAGTTTTTTTTAAAAGAATTAATTAGTTTTTTTTTAAAATTAATCATTTAGTCCAATAACTAGTATTGATCATGTTTAACTTAATATTATTTTAGGAAAAAAATATCATCTTTTCATACTTTTTCTCTTATTTTTTATTTTTCAATTTGTTTTTAAAATCAAAATCAAAATAAATTGAAAAAGAACAAAAATAATGAAGTTATGAGAAAATTTCAAAATATAAAGATTAAATAATTAATTTTTTAAACAAGAAGGATAAATTATTTTGAAATGATAAAATAATTTGAGGAGAAAGTTCCCTTTAATAAAAAAAAGATCAAATTATAATTTTGTATTTGAACACGTTATCAATTAACAAAAAAATTGATTAAAGTACTTGATTGAAAGTTTTGAAAAAATTGATATACTAAAACAAAAAAAATTAAAGTTTATATACTCAATTGAGAAAAAAGATAAAATTATAATTTAGTATTATGAGGACAATGAATATATTAACAATTAAAAAAAAATAGTTCACGAAGTATTTGATTGGTAGTTTTAAAAAATTTGATGTACTAAAAAAATATTAATATTCATAAAATTGATTGAAAAAAATAAAAATTAATATATTTATAGTGTAATTATTTCTAATATATAAGGTTGTGTCCCTCGAGTCCATTGGCCATCGTACCAATACTCATGTGTCGAGTGAGAACTTCGTGCATTGCACATGTAATATTGCTATCTCCTTCCCGAATCAAAAACAAAAAATTAAAGAAACTCCTTAATGTATCAATCGTTGCCCCATGGATTGTATAATTATAGATATTATTTTGACATATGTATATATAGATTTCCAAATGTGAAGAGATTGTGATTTTTATATCATAATTATTGATGAGGTGGCTTTTGATTGAGGTTCTGTTATACCCAAATTTATTTGGGAACCGACAACCCAAAAAATTGACTAAAACCCAAGTGAAGTTTAAATACAAACCCATAAGTACGAGATCAAACGAGACACTCACAAATAAGACTTATTAAAATTTGGAATGGTTCACAAACGAAATAGGCCCGTAAGAGGCTTTTAAGTAAAAACCCAACACTATTTTGACTCAAGATTAAAACATAAGTGTGTCATGGATAAAATACGTAGAAATCAAAAGTCCTATTCACAAAAAAGACATAATAGAACATTGAAAGCAGAAATAAGAAGAACGTGGAGCATTGCAACACAAGACATACATGGACGTTGTAGTTTAGGAACATGGCCATTACGAAAGATAGAAGACTCGTAAGGGCTATAAAATCAAGTTGCAATCAAAAGGAAAAAACAACAAATACAATACAATAACTCGATAGTATCTCTCTTGTAGTTTCAATAGTTCTAGTATTTACACCTTCCAAACACCATAGGCTATAGTTCATAAACGAGTAATTAGTAGGTTGTAATTGAGTAAGTCGATATCGTCTCCGGTTCAATTGTCATCTTCGTTGCAAAGCGGGCATATCATGTCTCTTTTATGGTCGCTTATTCCCGTTTTTCGAGTATCTATGTCTATAAGTTTCTATATTTTTAACATTATTATCATTTGTAGAGACTTTTGATTTAGTTTACATCAATTGCGAAGTATGTTTAATTATTCGGTTTGCATTCCGCAATGGAATCACTACTTTCATTACTTCGCATGTTGGTTTAAGTAATTGTTAGAATATAATTCATATTAGCAAATCTATTCTCATTTATATTTATATTATCACGCTTGTAATAACCCAAATTTACCTTTTATTTTATTTTATTTTATTTTGTTTTGTTTTGTTTTGTTTTTATTTATGTTATTTTTATTTTCTTTATTTTTTATTATTCATATTTTTATTTTTTATTTTTTTATTTCATGTATGTTTTGTTTTATTTCAATTGAAGTTTACCAAAAAAAAAATAATAATAATAAAAAACACAAAAATATTCATTCAGGAGCACAATTGCATTTAAAGAAAGATATAATTGAAGTAATTAGGGATATAATTGAACCAATTAAAAAATTTAGAACCTAAATTGCTTCTTACGAGGATCCAATTGATAAGATTGCAATTTATAAAGATTGAAATTGTACCATCGAAGGGCATGATCGCTGGACTTGAAATGCACGAGGACCAAACCGAAAGTTTGGAGCGAACGACAGGACCGAAATGGAGAAGACGACCTGTCGTCCACTCCAATGCAAATTCTCTCCGAAAATCTTTGGGAGAATTTGCCCAAATCCTCCATAAAATTCTTGTTTTAATTGTGCATTAATCATGGATTCGTTGCAAAAATCAACACTAACAGAAAGCAATGATCAAATTTTTTGTTTTGATTTCACATTAATCATGAATTAAAGAGGAAATATTTTGACAAAAAAATTTGAGATTTAGATTCGATTCTAGGAAGTTTTTAGTCGTAAAACGGGTTTAATTTCACATAGAAAAGGGAAGAAAAATTGGACGAGGAATTCGGGTTCAAAGAAGAGTGAAAATTAAAAGCAAAAGTTTTGATTTTTTTTTATTTGTAGCAATTGCGTTTTTCGGGTTTTGGTTTCGGGTGTTCTTGGTGTTCATGCATTCCGGGTTTGGAGTTTTAAAACTGTCATTCCCTTTTGTTCCTTGTTTTGCTTTTTTGGGGTAAAAATTCTAGATCCACGGGTTTCTCAATTTCGTTTATTGGATTTTTAGGATTCAATTTGTCCATTCTCGGGTTTTCTCCTAGAAGATTCGGGAAGTGTTCTTCATTCTTGTTGGCGAGTTGAACTTGTTCTTCATAGTTCTCGGTTTTTACTTTCGGATTTTAATTATCATCCCAAACAGATCAACACCAATCAAGAGTTCTCACCATCTACAGATCATCCTTGTACTTTATAAAGATTAAAATTGTACCATCGAAGGGCGTGATCGTTGGATTTGAAATGCACGAGACCAAACCGGAAGTTTGGAGCGAACGACGAGGATCGAAATGAGAAGATAACCTATCGTCCACTCCAATGCAAATTCTCTTCGAAAATCTTTGGGAGAATCTGCTCAAATCCTCCACAAATTTCTTGTTTTGATTGTGCATTAATCATGGATTTGTTGCCAAAATCAACACTAACGAGAAGCAATGACCAAATTTCCTGTTTTGATTTCACATTAATCATGAATTAAAGAGAAAATATTTTGACAAAAAAATTCGGGATTTAGATTCGATTCTAAGAAGCTTTTGGCTATAAAACGGGTTTAATTTCACAGAGAAAAGGGAAGAAAATTTGGAGGAGGAATTCTAGGTTTAGAGAAGAGTGAAAATTAAAAGCAAAAGTTTTTATTTTTTTATTTATTTATAGCAATTTGTTTTTTTTTTTTTTTGGGTTTTGGTTTCGGGTGTTAGTGTTCATGCATTCGGGTTTGGAGTTTTAAAGCTCGTCGTTCCTTTTTGTCCCTTGTTTTGTTTTTTAGGGTTAAAATTTCGGATCCACAGGTTTCTCAATTTCATTTATTGGATTTTTGGGGTTCAATTTGTCCATTCTCGGGTTTTCTCCTAGAAGATTCGGGAAGTGTTCTTCATTCCGGTGGGCGAGTTGAACTTGTTCTTCATAGTTACGGGTTTTTACTTTTGGATTTTAATTATCATCCCAAACATAACACCAATCAAGAGTTCTCACCATCTACGGATCATCCTTGTAGTCCGTTTCTCATCCTCTCATCTATCAAAGCATAATCAATTGCTTCTCTCTCGAAACTTCAAGTTAGTTTCTTTCTTCTTCCAAGTTTTAGTTTCTTTCTTTCTTCCTCATTTTTTTTTCATTTCATTACTGTCATTTTGAGTTCATGTTATTATTTGAGTTTTTGATTTCAACTCGTTTTGGATGTTAATTTTTATGGAGATGAGGAAAGTGCAATTAATTCAATTAACTTTTGGCTTAAAACAAGGGTTTGATTAAAAAAAAATAAGGGAAAGAAACTAGACAATAGAAAGAGAAGATGAAGGATGCGAAGAATTGGAGAGAGATAGGACGTGAGACGTGAAAGTACCCGTTTGATCGAAAAAAATAAAAGGGAACGGATGGGTTGTGTTTTTGGGTTTGAAGCTCGACCAGGAAAAGATAAAATTAAACCAACGAAGGGCTAGACCGAGTTCAATCCAGCCCATTGGCAAAAAAAAAAAAAAAAAAACAAAACAAAACAAAAGGGAGGGGGCTAGATCGTTATCGGTCCAGACCCGTAGCCCACCCTTCAAAAACCCAAAAAACAAAAATAAAAAGGAAGGTTGGTTCTATTCCAGACTTCTCTCTCTCAAAAAAAAAAAAAAAGGATAATAAAGAA